CCATTGGGAGGTCGAGAGGTGGCTAGAGTTGGCCGGAAAACGCCTGCAAAGGCTAGGTTCCTTGCGGAAAAATTGGAAAACGTCCCCCAGTCGTTTTCTTTATAGTTTGACATCCAAAACGTGTATGAAAGGTTAGTCAACCACTAGAGACGAGGGAAGGACGATTTTAAGAGTTTAGAACCTTACTCTCGTGTCAGGGGTAACAATATACCGTGTCGAATAAGACTGCTAAGCCACGTGATGAAGTTGTAGGTTTAAGAGGTTAATGTGGGAAAGTACGATGAGGGATGAGGGACGTCCCATGGTGAGGGTGGCTGCAGGCGGTCGTCTCCAAAGCACCATCTTGGTGCTAGCCATGGAAGAAGGGGAAAGAGCACCGGTGGAGGGAAAGGAAGAGTGATTTGCGAAAGAGAGACCAAGAGAGAGAGAGAGAAAGATTAGGACCGAGGGACAAACCCAAAAGCAATGGGCCCCTTAGGCACACAAAATAAGGTCCAAAAGTAACCTTTTCAAAAATAAATATCTCAACTTAGTGAAATTACAAGAATACCCCTCCGTTCTATAAAACGTATGATTATTTCGGGACAGGGTTGTTACACAAAATTGGTTTAAAACTTTAAGTCTCTCTAACATTACACAAAGAAAAATTAAATAATTACAAAAGCTATGTGTGTATATGTTTTGTGTCCAGGGAACAATCTAAATTATGAAAAAGTTAAAAATAAGGAAAACTAATGAAAAGAGCTTGAAAACTTTAAGTTTTAATCAAAATGACAAAAAGCTGTTGTAAGTGAATAGTAGTAGGAGTGACTTTTTAGAGTAAAAATATCATTTTTGTTAAAAGTGAACAGTACCAGGAATGTTTTGTTAAAACTCCCTTAAAAATATGGGTTTCGAAAGGGCTCTTCTAATAGCATTCCCGGTGAAGGGCTTTATATAGGGCTGAAAAAGTGGTGGATATAGCCCATTTTAGAGTTCTGAGGAATCTTTGGGACCTTATAAAAGAATCTCTCCCAATGAGAGGCTATTTCTTTCGGACTCTATATGGGGTTATATATATTTATTTATGTAGTAATTTGATTATGCGATACTTTTTTATGTGTTAACTTTCCTCAAGTTAATTTTTTGAGTGCTATCTTGAATTTTTTTATCAACCTTTCAACCTAAATTGTGACAAAGTTAGATTTCATCACTTATGAACCGTTTGTTAAATTAGATTTTCTTGTCTCAATCTCATCCATTGAAAGATACAAACTCCCACTTCGTCCTCTGAAATAATTTGAGTTTCACATATAACACAACAATTTACTTAGCACCAATTGGTAAATTAGTATCATACAATTTTGAAAAAAATTATTTTAAAATTTCACCCACTGATGCCCATGAACTTTAAATCAATTTGAAATTTTAATTTTTATGAAATTTAAAATAATCATTAATTAGCCAAAGGGAATTGTTCTACACTCCAAATTTTTTATATTAGGAAAGAAAAATATACTTGTGAGAAGTATAGAATGAGATTTTTGGAGTGTCAATAACACTTTCCTTAGCCAAATTGAAAGAAAAAAAAAAGAATTAAAAAAAGAATAAAAGAGAGTATAAGTGTATTCGGAAATGGAGGTAGAGTGTGATGCGGGAATTTATACGCACACAAATTAAACCCTCTTTTTGTCAAATTGTAGTATAAGTATAAGTAGGGATCGTTCTGGACCGGGGATTAGGAGGGATTGTTAACCACTTGGATTTGACTCAAAACGTAAATAACAATATGAAACACTATACTAGACTCAAAGAATGCAAAACTAACTTTAAAACACTAAAACAAACCAAAGACTCAAACATCACCCAAAACACTCAAAACTGCCTTAAAACACTTTCTGGGCAGTTTTGAGCACTTGGTGAATTTGGACGAATTATGTAATAAATTGAATCAAAACACTTAGAAACATAAACTAAGACACTTTCTAACTAAATTGGACAATAAAGTAAAGGGGGATTGAGTTTTGACGAAATTAAACTAAATGAACAAATTGTAATTAAAGCAGAATGTAAATATGAATATGATGAAAGTATGGATGAATGCTAGCTAAGGGGTTCATCTCCACACATGTTACACTTGCATAATAAAATGATTTCCAATTGCATTTCAATAAACCATGAATTCTCAATGCTCCAAGTAAATTAGGTCCGCTTAAATTAACTTTCAAATCTTCCTAACGTTATTGAATTGGATGATTGCATACGACAACCCAAAACATTCCCCACAAGTCCCCTACATGATTGCATAATAGAGATACAAGCAAGAATCATTACGCTCTATGAAAATTATAAGTGTTGACGAGGCATTCGTTACTATGGAATACGCATGAAACTTATGCCAAGAATTCGTTTAACGCGATTGTTTATAAGCAACCTCCACTACTTGTGAATATAAGTTCGTAACTATTAGGTGAAACTCACTTATATTCTAGCGTCATATTCATGCATGAAAATTAAGTGTGCACTCTCAATAAACATACATAAATAAGTTATCAATCAAACAGTTAAACGAATTGAATCCACAACTTATGAAACGCAATTAGAAGTAATCAAATCAAAATGCAAGCATAAACATATATTTCGAATTCCCCCCTAGCCAAGGGGGGTTTAGTTGAATTTAAACATTGGAATCAAAGAAACACCTAAACATTCCAACAACTCAAACTTGAATTGTATGAACGTTTAGGCCCTCTTCTCTTCCATTCCTCATTCGTACAAAACAAAGAGTATTGAAATTAAACATTGAAATCAAAGAAACACCTAAACATTCCAACAACTCAAACTTGAATTGTATGAACGTTTAGGCCCTCTTATCTTCCTCTTCGTTGTAGCACAAGGTCTAAGGATAGTTTGATGGTGTTAATGGTTTGGGGAGTGGTTGGAGTGGCTGCAATGGAGGAGAAAAGTGTTTTGGTGGCTGCTGCAAGGGTGTGGAGAGGTTTTGACGAATTTCTGGAATATGGAAGAGTGAATGAGAATGAATGAGAATGAATGCTTATTTATAGGTGAAATGGGGGGAACATGACAGCTAGGAGGGAATGTGGCTGCATGTTTGAATGATTAAAGGATGCATGTGGGTTGAAATTGCATGTGCAATGAATATGTGGCTGCATGTGCAAGGGGACAATCTGAAAATGCATGTGAAAGCATGTGTTGGCTGCAATGATGAAATGGATGGGAGTGCATGTGGCTTAATTAATTAAAGGGAGTGCATGTGGAATGTTTTAAAGGATGGAATGCATGTGAATATGATGGAAATCTGATATGGTGATGGGAGATGCATGTGGCTGATTTATGCATGTGAATGCATGTGGCTGCAATGGATTAGGAATCCTTCAATTTCGTCCATTCCTTTTGCTCCAAACATAAGCTATCCATTCCAAGTCCAATTTTGCTCCAAAATGCTCCAAAATGCATCTTTTTGCTTCCTTAGCCATATGAACCTAAAAACACACGAAAATGGCTTAAACGACTAAAACAACTATGAATTAACAATATAAATGCACGAAAACAAGCTAAGTAAGTCGCCTAAATATGCTTCTATCAGAGTGATATAATTTTGCTCACATAGATGCTACTTTTTTGTGCGACCCACTGTTTTTTTTGGGTTAAATGTAGCCTAATTTTATGTTATTCAAGAAAGGAAGTTACTAGCCCAGTGGTGGATCTAGCCACATTTTCCAACTCATTAAGGATGAAATTTCTTACTAAGCTTGAAATGTACTAGTCTCAATAAAGCCCCCATTCGGATGCTCTAAGACTAACTGAAGTACGAATCTTTTTATTTAGTAAATTCTGTAGAAGTTAACAAGAAGGACTTGCAATGAAAATTCCATGGGGTGGGCCTCATCAGTATTCTCAACAAATGATATCAGGTCTCCGTCAATGTCATAGTTACCGAAAACTGGAAGGCACAAACTTGTCTGATTCTGTTAGACCTTCCAATCGAAGATCAGAGGAAGTTCAGTAGAGCATGGTGAGATGCGTAACTTCATTTCTGAGCAGTACTCCCACCTTTTTCAATGGCTGCACCCATGAATCCAAATCCGAGGTTTGACCTGAACATACCCCCGTCAATGGGCTCGAATTTTATGATCAGGAAAGCAATCACTATTCTTACACTGACAAGTCTTTGCTGGAAATGGAGAAGTTTGGAGTTCTACCACATGAAAATATTCCTGGCTTGATTGGAGGCCTTGATGATGAACAATTTCCAGAATATACGGACATTGGGTAAGCTCTGATGGCTGGAACCACAAGTTTTGGTATTGAAAGACGTTAAGGTTGATGGAAAACTGACCACTAAATTTGGGATTATCGATTTCTTTTGCTCATCAGACGCGGTGGACTATGAATCAGATGGCATTTGGGGAGATTGGACTTTCACCCTTTTGAGATGCAGAGGGAGAGTTTTGGCGTGTGTTCCTGTTATATGCAGAAATCGATTTTATGCTTGGCAAATCTGTGACTGCAGGACGGTAGAGAAGCCAGGATCAGAGGAAACAAATGGTAACAATTTTTGTAGTTCAAATTTTCGCTGGCAGACTGTTTAAATTTGTTTTAGGGCTTTCATTGAGACGTCTGTATGGCGACATTTACTCCATGAGAAGTAGTGAATGAAATTAGTGTTAATTATTACTAGGCATTTCTCAACTCTCTAGTAGGCACTCAGTGAACTCGTACATTTCCTTGTTCAAAGTGTTCAATGCATTGGATTGTAGAGCCTGAAGGAAGCGACCCATTTCAAACTAAACAAAGGGCACGGTAACCCGAAGAAAGAGTGTCGGCACAGGAGTTGCTCGAAGATGCATAAAGAACCGTTGTTTGATCGATCGATGAGTACAAGTGAATTCTTTTGTACGAGTGTTATGTACTTTATGAACAAGTGTTATTTTGTTCATTGCAACATTGAATGGATGCATGGCTGTCACGTATATATTTTGTATTATACGATTGATAAGTAGAAATTAGAAACACTAGCTTTTATTAATTCCAGGTTTTTACACCTGAGAAAATCAGAATACATAAGTTGCTTGTGGAAACATCTATTGAAAGATAGAATTCCTTTATTTCTTACATAAGTTGCAAGTACCGAAAACACAAAGTAGATACGAAAAAACATCACATATATAGAGTACTAACAAACTCAAGAAAAATCCTTTTGAAACGAGCCACTATCAATGCAATTGCTAGTGCTACCTTATCATTGATGTTGTCAAAGAACGGAAAATAGGCATACCTTCACGATGTCTTTAGGATCAATGTGCCACAAACTCCCCAAAAACCTACGATGAATCCAAGTACCACGCTGACATAAAACCACAACTTATCATTGTCTCTATCTTCATTCCTGTCATTTGCACCCTCAGTAGTAAAAGTTTTGTCTCCAGGGCACTTAGTTGAAAGAGGAACTCCACACAGTGATGGATTGTCCATATAAATCGACGAATCATTGAGCGTTTGAAGCTGGTTTCCAGAAGGAATTCTTCCAGACAAGTTGTTATAAGACAAGTTCAAGTGGGACAAAGAGGTTAAAGATGACAAGCTTTGAGGAATTTGTCCCGTGAGGTGGTTGTGTGAGAGATCAAGAGTTTCGAGCCAACGCAAGTTTCCGATATTGGAGGGGATCCTTCCAAACAATTGATTCATGGACAAATTCAAGGTGCCCAATAGAATGAGGCTGCTTATTTCTTCAGGAATTTCACCTTGTAAATTATTTGATGAAAGATCAATGCTATTTACAAGATCTAGAGTCGTGTTGTACACAAGTTCTTCTCCTTTTAGTGTCAATGTGGCTTGCTCATCATAATAAGCAAGGACACTATTTGAATATTTGACCCTTTTTGAATCTTTCACCAGCGAAGTCAAATTATTCAAACACTTGGGAATAGTACCAGAAAAGTTGTTGCGACTAAGGTCGAGGATGTGAAGGTGTTGAAGATTGCACAGTTGTTGGGAGATATGTCCACTAAAATAGTTGGATCGTAATCGTAGCATATACAACATGGATACACTGGATCCTTCTATCCATAGTGGTATTTCCCCATATAACCTGTTGTTTCCAAGATCAATGCTCGCCAAACTAGAACAATTTTGTAAGGAATCAGGAACTTCACCTCCAAAATTGTTGTTGTTGAGCTTTAATACTGCCAGTGAACTTAATACCCCCAATGAAGTGGGAATATTACCAGAGAGATTGTTTTGACCAACATCTAAAAACACCATATTGCTCCCCACGCTCCATGCATGAGGGAATTCTCCAGAAAATTGATTGCTTCTTAGAGACAAGATTCTCAAGTTAAGCATGCTGCAAACAGATTGAGGAATTGTGCCGTTCAAATTATTCTCAGAAAGAAACAATACTTGCAAATTCGGCATCAACTGGTCAATATTGGAGGGAATTGGCCCGGAGAATAGATTGCTTTCAATAATAAGGGAAGTGGCAAAAGTGGACCAAAGCGGGAGTGAGCCCTCCAATTGATTATGACTCAAATCAATAGAATTTAAATTTGGGAATTTCAAATGCAATGGAAGGCTTCCACGAAATTTGTTGTTAGACAAGTCTAGTTGGATGAGTTGGGAAGATATCTTCAACAACCATTCCCTTGGTATGGAATCTGAGATTCCATTGCCACTAAGAGTGATGTCGATTAGTTTAGTTTGAGATTGAAGCCACACCCCAAAACCAGGTCCTACCCAACAATTTAGGATCCTAAGTTTGTGGAGCTTGAAAGGAGGAACCCAATCATAAGCCACGTCAAAAATGAGGGACTTGGATTGGGCTGGGTTTCCTACTTGATAATCTTGTAATCTCGTAAGGTTTCTAAAATGGGCTTCTGTTAGAATACTTTCCCATGAATTGCCAAACAGATTTAGGGAAACTAGTTGAGATAGTTGGCCAAGACTTTCTGGAATGGAGCCATTCATATTATTATCAAAGAGGTCCAATGTTTTCAAGGAGGACAAGTTTCCGATTGAATCTGGGATTGAGCCCCAAAAATTATTGTACCTAAGGTTGAGATTCTGCAAACTTTTAAACATTCCTAAGGAGGCCGGCAGTTGGCTTTGCGTCCCACAGTAAGACAAATCTAATGACTCTAATGTATTATTTGGACAATTTGAGAAACTCCTCCAAAATTCTTCAATCCCCCCATTAAATTTGTTTCCAGAAAGACTTAAGAACTTCAGCTTGCAAAAATTTCCAATGACATTGGGAATTTGACCTTTTAAGCCTGTTTCAGATAAATCAAGGTCCTGAAGAGATTTGAGACTTGCAAATTCATTTGGAAAAGAACCACTGAAATTATTCTTGGATAGATGAAGTGTTATGAGGTTGGTAAGATTGAAAAACCAACTGGGAAGTGCAGAACTGAACATATAATTATTTGACAAATCAAGTACGAAAAGTGATGTCAAATTAAAGTGTTGCAAAGAGATGAGTGGAATGCTTTCAATTTGGCACGAAGATAAGTGTAACTGTGACAGTGAAGGAAGCATATTAACAGCATACACCCAATTGACTCTTGTTGTGCTAAGATCGGCCTCTCCAAGATCAAGGTATTTTAGAGAAGAGAGGCGAGACATCCAATTCAAGTTTCTGGAAGACAAGTCAAAATTCAACCCGAGATCAAGAAAACTCAGGCTTGATAGGTTACCAAGAGAAGGGGGAATTTCTCCCCCAAATGATGCAAGGGAGAGATTGAGATATTGCAAACTTTTAAGCTCCCCAAAGAACTTTGGAATGGGAATGCCTTGAAAATCATTATAGCTTAGGTCCAGGAATTTTAAATGTTTCAAGCTAAGCAAGAATGATTTATCTTACCTCCCAAGCAAGACTTTTCATAAGACGAAGAATTTGAACTTGGATATGGATTGCGGAGGTTCATCCTGACAACACGACCAGTGCCGTTGTCGCAAGAAATTCCTTCCCATCGACAGCACTCACGCCCCACCCAAGAAGAAAGCCTACCAGAAGGATCAACAAGATGTTGTTTAAAGTTGACAAGTGCTCGCCTTTCTTCCTCAATGCATAATGATTTCACAGTAGTAGTGCTCGGAACTCCGATATCACCCAAGCAGATCATAGCAGTGGGTAGATACGTAGATGCCAAAAAAAAAATGAGAAAACGGTGAGAAAATTTGAGGGGATTGATGAGATGCAAGGTATCCATTGGAGAAATCAGTGTGTATATTCCCCAGTTGGTTGCAGATGAACACAACAGTGAACTCAACTCATATATAACAAGCAATGAGAGCGTAAAAGCAAATAGTGCTACTCAACTCTCTGTTGAGTTTCACGGGTTTACATTTGTATTCACACCATGAAATTGCAAAGAACGTGGGAGTGGGGAGGGGGACGACTAGTCTCCATAAAGAGAAAGAAGATGACAAGGACACAAATGCTCCTGCGTACATCACCAAAGACCATGACTTTTAGGCTTGTTTGCCGACATTGAGTTTCACACTGACCAAAGCGTGCTCTCAGTTATTGTATGATGGAAATTGCAAAGAACGTGGAAGTGGGGAGGGGGACGACTAGTCTCCATAAAGAGAGGGAAGATGACAAGGACACAAATGCTCCTGCGTACATCACCAAAGAGCTTGACTTTTAGGCTTGTTTGCCGACATTGAGTTTCACATTGACCAAAGCGTGCTCTCAGTTATTGTATGATGGAAACTACATTTTCTTATGGTTAAATTATATTTTTGACCATATTTAGCTTGATTTCTTCTTCCTAATCAATCAACTAGTGTAGATGAGATGTGATAAATCATAAAATAAGATGTCAACCACAGAGTTGTGGTTGTAGCTCCCAAGCGATATAGGAACCCAAAAATTATTGTTTCAATAACTTTCTTTTATAATTTTTAAAAATGTCACAAGTTCAAATCATTTTATCCGTTATCAAAACAAGAACTTAGAACTTCACTATATTGTTTTCAATAATACGTCGTATTCCCCAAACTTCCAAAAAGAGGGTGGTATGGTAAAAATGTTCAACATCTTCCCTCAGTCAAGAACATGTTGACCATGATATATTAAATAAATTACAATTTCATTGCTGATCCTCTCGTTGAATCAACGCATCATAATTACTAAAAAGCAAAAATTCTCTTGACTCTTGAGAACAAAACTTGGCAGAGTGAAATCAATCTCTTGAATTTTTTAACTTCTTCGACTTTCTTCCGGACTTTCCTCCCCCTTTGTGACCGAAGTACTTGTCACTTCCAGAAGCAACCTATGCTTTTGGACCTGTACCTAAAAGCCCCACCCTTTTTTCTACTTTGGTGATTAAAATCCTAAAGTTCACTCAAATTTGCCCAAACGTCCTTTATTTAGATAGGCTACACTGCTAGTTTGTCCCCAGAATTTTATGGGCATTTTCAACTTACCCATGAGCTAAGTTTTTGGAAAATTATATTACTTTCTCAAATCAGAAATTTTTAAGTTTTTAAATAATAGGATAGAAGTTTTGAAATTAGAACTCTTTCTACGTTGAGAAGAGTAATATCACTAGACGAGTAACTACTAGTTGGTAAAAGGTTCACAATTTACTTCATTAGAAGATATGTTACTGAAGCGACAAATTCATAGATAATTACAGGTTGAAGTGTTACAAGTCTATGTAAAATATTAGGTAAAAGCTTTTGTTCTCATAAATATTTGAATTCTAAATGTCTAATTATTTGGTCTATCAAACATTCAATTTAGTAGAAATTATAGTGAATTCATAACAAGATTAGTGAATGCAATTCTCTCATTTAGTCATTCTCTATTTATGATAAACATGAATCTACCTAATGTTTTCTTTAACATTCTCGTTAGTGAGGCTGCCATGGAAGCATACGGGAAGCTTGCAGTTATTGACGAAAATCAAGAGCCACAAGCAAAGTTATTGTCATTAGAAGTGAGTGACCATTAGGTTTAACGGCATTTTACAAAATAAACACGGTAGTTGAAACTAAGAATATCCGAAAGCATGTTTTGCAAGCACAACGAAGCGGGGGGCTACAAACCACCCGCCCCCCGATGGTTGCTCAACTTTCTAATTTCTTGGTCTCAATCTACTCCACCTCGGCCAAGTAATCTTCAATTTCAGCTGGTGTAAGTACTCTGCAACAACACAATCACAACATAAATTCACAAGCTAATGCATGCCAACCAAAGGGTGAATCGACGGATAAAAATTAAAACATAGGGTTGTGAGGGGAAACTTGCCTGAATTTTTTGTCAGCGCCAATTATCCCAATCTCAATGTTTTTACCAGAAATTTGTCCTTCAAACCTAGAACCGCATGCAGAAAGAAAGGTCACAAAAGAGCTAACTTATATTTGTATGATAGAACAACGGTGTGCATAAATTCAGAACTGAATTTGTTTCCTATAGGAAGACTAAAAGTAAAATAAAAAACTGAAGGATAAAGTGCCTACCCTTCTTTCAGGGTCAATATTGCCGTGTGGACAGCATCATCAAGTTCCATGTCCTCGGTGTACCTACAAGAAATAGTCACATGAATCCTCAGCTAAATTCAAAGCAAACATAAAACTGAAGGCCAGGATAAAGAAATAAAATGCAATTCAAGGGTTAAAAGATGGACGAGTCATGCTGCTGATTAGACATGCCAATATAGACGTCAATAATTACTAAGATAAATAAAATAGAACGAAGACTACCCTTGAGAATCAATGACTATTGAGTTCCCGAATTTCATTACGCCTCCAACATTGATTCATAATTAAGTGTACAATGCAATTATGAGATGTTAAGCACCTCCAATGGTTATTGCTTTAGTTAGAAATTTAGACAAAAGGAACATAAACCAGAAAACAGTTTGTATTATTGTTGATCGTAACTTGCCTTTTCTCAAGAAATGTTTTTGCGTTAGAAACATTTTTCCCCATGGCAGAAGCTTTCCAAGAAAAGTAAGAACCTGATGGGTCCACCTACGGCATAACAAAAATCAGTCACGCAGAAATCCAATGGAAAATAGATATCAGAAAAATAAATAACTACAAAAGCTTTAAAAGGTTGTGGTATGTGTGTGTGTATTGCCAACTAGAAAGAAAAAGGATTGCGCTCCCTGAACCTCTATAGTTTGTTCTCAAAGACTCGAGCACAATGTGCACCATAAGTTTACACTAGGTGAGGACAGAATATACATACCTGAAATAGTTGTGGACCTTTGTCATCAAAGCCGGCAACCAGCAGTGAAACTCCAAAAGGCCTTACACCCCTAGAAGGATAACAGTCAAATCAGAGTCTAAAGTGGAAAAGGACCTGAAAGTTAATTGCAGCCTGAAGTTGAATACACAAAACATGCATTTGCCTGTATACGAAGTCTAAGCAAATAATTACAACACTCAAGCTTAAGTTATCAAGATTAAAAATTTTCAAATGATACTAATCTTCCCTTCCCCATATTTTTCTATATAAACAACTTAAGCATTAAAACCTTTTAATTTATTAAAAGTTCGGACCAAGAAGGATAATTTAGGATCAAGATCGTTAAAAATCTTAAGGTAGGTAAACCAGGTTGTGAGAAAAAATGATAATTACCCCGACTGTGTGAACTCCTGCATAACAGCAGCAACTTCCCTCACTAGTTGTGTAACAGGGATAGGTTCCTGTAAATACCCACGAAATCAAATTATAAGTTACGTTACAAAAAATAAAAATTACAGTAACTAACCGGGTGACTATAAAGTAATAAATCAACTTGTTTCAAGTTGAGACTCGTTATAACACATTGGGGTAGGAATGCGGATAGCCAAAGGGAGGTATCACTTAAGACTCTATGCCCGATCCACAAGACCAAAAAATATTCATTCACGATATTTAAAAGCTAAAAACCAATATATAAACAATGATATTACCAAAAAAATGCTTAAATGCTGTGGTGCACATCAAGGAGAATAAAGATTCAACAGGATTCTTCTAAGGAACGTAAACTGAAATTCCAATACTTAGTATATGCTCAAAGAACAATATCAATACTACGGCTAAAAATAAAAAGAATAAAAGATGAAAGACACAAAATTTGAGCTATACTTTATACAACTGATGATATTGCTCCGCCTGTTTCCTACTTTTCCGAACCAGAACTCTGAAATCTGGACCCATGCCACTGCATGAGAGAACAGTAAATTTCAGTTATTTTTTCTCCGAGGAAGAAAGCCCGCCCATTAAAACCCCTTAAACATCATGAGGAATTCTTAGATACAACAAAATCAATAATAAAATGGCATGCATTCATTGTTGGTGGAACTCTTATAATTTTTCAATGGAACTACATCATTCATGTGATATGGGTCCTCTAAAGGTGAATTCATATTTTATGGATGATGGATCCCGCCAACAATAAACTACTGTTCATTTCATTATTGGTTTGTTTTACCACGATAATATGATAACATGGTAAAGCCACCGGAGCTAAGACTTTTTGTGGATCAGATATTATTGAAGCATTATAGCAGCAACAACATGACAGGAATATCAAAATAGTATTGTGAAAACCCTCAACTTAACACAAACATGTAGTACAGACAAACCTGTAAACAACTCCAATGTTTGGCGTCAATAACTGAATTTTCTGAACCTGCAATCCAAAAACTTAAAGGGTCACAAGAAGTCCCTGGTATACTACTTGATTATTGGAGAGAACATGCCTTAGAGGTGTAAAGAAAACAAATTCAGTTTGTCAAATAAGAATAGTTGATGAGATACGCAAGCTATACATCAGTGTACAAATAAATTTAGAAATCCAGCTCTGGCATAGAACTTGTACATAACTTATGAATTGCAGTCTATCAAAAAGAGTAGCATAGAACTAGTACATAACTTATGAATTGCAGTCTATCAAAAAGAGTAGCATATTCACTCACAGATGTTTCATCAACTAAGATAGATGGCAGTTTCTTCTCCGTTGCTATGACAACTCCATTAGCAGCTGCAACAAGAAGATAGATTTTTCTAAATAACAAAACCAATGACACTAACTTTATGATAGATTTCAAAACTTATCTGACGTAAGAGCCAAATAATGAGCTGAATCAAAACGAAGAAAAGTTAAAGATGTAAATATTTCAGCAATAGAAGACATTTATGTTTAGCAATACAAAGTAAGAACAGTGATTTTTATATAACTAATGACTCCAATGGTGTCATAAGATATCTCAGTTTATGTCCATTAAAATTACCCAAGGATGCATGAGGCCCAATCTTGCAAACAATCCAGATAATTTATAATTATAGAAAATCAACTCGAACCAATATAATAAGATATAGCTATGAAATATAAAATTACTGGTGATCAAGCATATGATGGGTCTTACTTCTCCTAAGGAAAGAATGTCTACGATTAGTAGTTATCTCCCTTTTATAGTTAATAGGCACTTTCTTGCCAATAGTTCTGTATAAGATTGTCCGCAATTCATACATCAAATTACAAAACAAAAAATGACCAAAATGCGTTTCATTTTAACTAAACATAAGCACTAAACTCTACCACGTCGGAATTCTTAGCTTCTTTTATTTCTCTATCCTGAGTGCGCTGGTTCAACTTCACCCATTTTCTTCTCCCTACCGACCATAAATACCACACTCAGCTTCCATCCAATTTCATTTATCGTGGATCACTAAAAACTCAGTTCCAAATGAGGTCTTGGACCCTCGTTCCTTACCGGGAAATAAATACAAAAAAAATTAATTTGCTCATTCTTAACAACAAGGATAACAATTCTAAATATTTGCTGCAACCACCAAACCGATATAGTTAACATGTAATACCCTTTAACTCTTTCACACCAGTTTCTAGCAACAATGAACAGATTGTTCATCTCTTTTTCTGACCAATTTAATCCGTCTCCTTTCTTATTCGAGACGATTACTTAGAAAGTGTCAATTCAATTCAAATTCAAATGTATCCGAAACAACTTGAGAATGCATAAGATTTTCGCACACCTTTAATCCCTAAAGACGTCTGGCCAGACCCAACTGCCGTTAGCGCATGTTCAATCTGAACAAGCTTCCCAGAAGGACTGAATTCAAAATAAACATAAAAATTATGATCGAAAAAAAACCCCAATATTCCAATCAAATTTTCAGTACAAAATTCAAATTAAATTCGCAGGTCAAACACCTGAAAGTGGTAAGAGAAAATGAGTACTGGCTATCACTCATTATGCTTCCAACCCAAAAAAGAAAAACTGCGGAAACAGAAATCAGAACGAACTCATCAATTTTCAACTGAAAAAAAAAAAAAAAAAAAAAAAAATTAATTGTTACTAGAGTAGTGAAAATTAGGAAATTGGGTTTCTTTGGAACCCTAACGGCGAGCTAAAGTTGGGGTCTTTTGAGACGTACCTGACTCAGAGGATCAAACTCGGAAGTTCAGAAGAGCCCGCGAGAGAGAAGATTTCTTGAAGTGAGCGTTCTTCTGTGTTTCAAAGAAGAAGATGGATGCAACGACGCCGTACTGACTGGCATTGCTTGTTTATTTATGACTTAAGTTTCACTAATAAACCTTGAAGTTTACTCGGCTTTTTGCTTTCAACCTTGTAGTGTTTTACTTTACATTTGATCCTCGTAGTTTCGTTCCGTCAGCACCGTTAGTCCAAATTTTCAAACGAGGGGAAATTCATTCCAACGTAGGTTTTTTTTGTTTTTTTTTTTTTTTTTGAGTACATCGATATTTTTAGAGAGAAGGAGTTCGGTTAAGCTATACAATAGGTAGTCTAGTTTGGTATCGAATTCGCCATTAACGAGATTCGAACTTAAACCTCTCACACCCAAGTGAAGAGGAATATTACCAGACCGTAGTTCTTAAATGAGAAGATGTGCACACAAATGGATGGAAAATTCAATTTAATTTGACAAATTTTTTTGTTCAAAATGAAAGTAGGACATAAATGTAACAAAATAAACTATATGGACGCAAGTGAAAATCAGAGTAAACTATAGGGACTGTAAGGCCATCTCCAACCGACTCGGCCAAAGGGCCGTATGGTTAAAAATAGCTCGGAATGACACGAAAACCATCTCCAACTAAGGGCTAGGTCAAAGGGTTTATGCGCCTCACAGGGCCAAAACCCCCAAATCAGGCCAACGAGCTAGCCATTTCCAACCAGCCAGCCCAACCTTCCAGAGTCAAAATGTCAAGCATGACTTTGTGGCAGGTGCAAAAATACCATGCTTTCTTTGTTATTATGGCAAGTGGCATTCAAAATATGTCCGAAAATTTTATTTTAATATGGTAGTTTAATTTAATTAATCATATTAATTCAATTAAAATAATAAATTATTAAGGAAGTTATGTTTGACCTATGACCTTTTGGCTCCTTCGGTTGGAAATGGTATAAAATATAACCTGGCATTGTTCGTTAAAAATATAACTTCTTGCAATGCTATAGGCTAAACATGATCTATTGACCCTCCTTCGGTTGGAGATGGCTTAAAGTGCCATTTAGCCCATAATCGTACCAAAGAAATGTTAGGTAAACTGCTTTTTTGTACCGCATAATGTGTACATGTAACGTTGTCACGTAACGTAACGTTGTCACGGTGGTAAAGGACTCGGCTCATTTGTGCATTGAGCTCGAGCTTGATATAATGGATAACAAATGCCATGTAGAAAAACCATGGTAAGAAATGAAGATTAAAACTACATACGCGACTTCATCTTGATCTTTAGTCACACCAAACCATCCCTGAGTAGACAGAAAACCTAACTGATAAACAACACAGAACAGCTAAAGCCAGATCATCTACTGCTCTTGCAATTCACCCTTTAATTTTCCACGCATGGGCACACCGGGGGCCACTCGCGATCCCCTCGTAGTACTTGGATTCAAGTTTTTGTTTGTTCCAAACTTTCACGAAGTCTGCAAATAGTTGGCGTGCAGACTCTGATGAAAGATCGGAGAAGAACACATCTTTCTCTTCTTTCAGCCACGTAGAGAACTCATTGTTCTTGAGGAAATAGTCATCGTTCGACAGCTCTTGGAAGTCAATTTTCTGCAAGATAAAAGATTTCTTAACTCCTAACCATCAGAAAATCAATGCTCAAGAAACGGATACACTGAACACGATAATAAGGTGGACCATCAAGTAATAAATATCAAAATGCAAAGAATTCCTTGTGCCAACTGGTCAAGCTTCCAAAACGTAATTTTACTTTCTGCACAACAACAGATTGTAGACTTAAAGAAAGGTTGATCTAAAATGTGAGTTCACAGATTTTTATTAAATTCATTATACAAGAGCTTTTCGTCCAAAAAATACTAAAGACACTGCTCTGAGCATTGACTGGCAACCTTGCCATAGGTTGAGCACCACGAACTCTTAAGTGCAATCTAAAAATATTTCCAAACAATACCAAAGACACTACTTCGTAAGAAATATAACTTGCAAGAAAAACAAGTGATACCAAAAACTGCATACTGAAACTAGATCTCGCAACTTGTAAGTAGATTGTTTTCTGGTTTCTATATTTGAGCATCACAAGTAGCTATCCATGGAAACTAATGTTGCAGCTCTCCCTGTTCCCAGATTTTCTGTATATTCAATTAAACAATCTAAACTTTTGATGACTTTCATATGAAGCTAATACAGATTACCAACAATAACAAAGACGTCTAAACAATGAAATCAAATATTTGCCGACTTCAGAAAATCTATGCAAACTGCAAACTTTAGCCTCACTTCTTCAATAATTCAGATCAGGTGAATTGCTCAAAGTATGAAGGACTTCTGCTAACATTTTCTAGGACTTTGGATTACAAAAATAAATGTAATGACGGGTTTCCATTGTTTGTATACAACTTGCAAGAAGTTTGACCTTTTTCTTTTTGTTTCACTAAGGATTTATAGGTACATGTAAAATCCATATTATATATAGTTCACAGATTGAGAGTACTTCAAACATCAAACATTTATCACGATGGGAGATAGGAAGCTTACCGAGAGGCGATCGCCTTTGTGGTGTTTACTTTTGTGCTTGTCTTTTGTCTTCTTTTCTGAGGCACAATACAATGTCAATGTGATAAGTACAAGAACCTCATCCTCAATAGGCTTAAAAATTACCATATGGTAAGTCAAATAATGCACTTTCATGTAGTTAATCTCCTCGGTTTATGTTTACTTCTCCAATGTCAAAAAAACTCGATCAAACACAGGATGTGCCCGAATCCCTAACAATGCCATTACACTAGTTCAAATGCAACTTGTAGTAACTAGTAAGCCTGTGCGTGTCTGGTAAAACCATACCAATTCTAATATAGCATTACACTAATTGGACTGCAGTACCATAATTTCTATCACAATTTATCCAGTAGGCCTGTATACAATAGCAGCTTGATGTCAAAAGAAAGTGAATGCACTCACAGCCATATGTGTATCCCCAAAAATTCGATTTAACAAGTATTGCAAAGTTCGATTAAACGAAGTAAAATCCATCTTAAACTAGTGTGAGACTCAGACTCGTATCGATATACCTTTATCGGAACGGTGTTTTGAGTGCTTATGAGATTTTTTCTTGTCCTTTGACTTGTCCCTCTTGTCACTCCTCCTGCTCTTCTTGTCCTCATCTTCTACTGGTCTCTGCCTCTTGCCTCTTCCCCCATCTGTAAAAAACAAAAACCGAATTCAATAAAACCCACATCGTATATATGAGGAACAAATTACACACAATTTCAAGCAAACCCAGGAAAAATAAAACTTGTTTGGCTGCTGAGAAAATGTTGGAGAAAGATAGAAAAATCAAAAGTTCGATGCTTTCCCAACTGGAAAAGACGAAGTCTGCCATGAACCGAGAATCACAAAAGCTATGAAATTGAACAAATCGGAAAGAGGAGATTAGGGTACCTTCGGAAGATGAAGAGGGGCTCCTTTTCCTACTCTTCTTCTCCTCGGATTTCCGGTCGCTTCCCATTTGAATTGCAGAGAGAAATACAGAGAGAGACTCGACCTAGGGAGGGGAAAGCCTGCCTTACGCGGGTCGGAAAATCGCTAACCTTTTGGATTGGATCGACAGGACACTGAACCTTGGGCCCAAGATAGTAGACCGGCCCATCATATCCAGAAAATACCTAGCCTACTCATTAAAGCATTTTTTTACACATCAATTGTTTAATTTGAGAGGCAAATTTATTAAATAACTAGCATGGACACACACAAAATATGTGAGAAAATTTTTTTTTTTTGTTTTTGAAATAGAAGGAGAGAGGAAGAGAGTGATAGAGAATGTGGGAAGTAGGAATTTTTTTAATTTTTTTTATTAGAGATATATTAGGATTACATATAGGTGAGGTTTTTAAAAAAAAAAAATATTGGTTATGTGAAATTGCATTTATACCCCCCATATTTTTATTCATGTTCTGCTTTAATAGAGGGTTAAACTGGTAATTTTATAGAATTTTGGTTGACAATAAGCATTTTATTAATTAGTAGCCAAACATTAAAAAGCGTAACAAGAAAACTTCACTCCCGGCCGGGCGACCCTCCCGGCCCCGCTCCACTAACCTTGCACGATATTCCTTGGCCCCGACAACGGTTTTGTAGAACCAATGAGAAACTTCCCAATGGGTCACCCTCTGGAATCTCACGCTACCTACCTAACTCGAGTTCCCATGAACCTGAGCCAATGAGTTCCAAAGGCCTAGCACACCATTAAACGTATTGTCGCTTGGGCTTACCATTCTCACGGTTTGTTTTGGGAACTACATCAACTCCTAGGGTACCCATCACTCACTTAACTCGGAGTTCTCGACCCGAACAGTGAGCTTCAAAAGGCCTCGTGCTGGACGGGAAAATATAAGAATCACTCCTGTGCGGTGTGGGAGAGAAAAAACTTGATCTCACTAACTATATATTGAGAAAAAATTTATTATACTGCTCAAGCATCACTAGATTAATGCTTACACAATTAACCAAATCGTAATTATTAACCCTCCTATTTAAAGAAGGTTTGTCCTTGGAAAAAAAAAAAATGCAAATGTGGCTTTAAAAGAACTATCCCTGCAAATGCAATTCCCGTAAGTACGAGGGCTAAATTGAAATGTGCTAAACCCCCAACTAAACTAACCACCCTTGTCTTTAAAAGGGGCCCACCCCAAACGGAAACCTCATTCAGTTAGGCATTTCCCGCTTCTATTCTCTCACTACGTACAGATTTCAGAGTCGCTAGAGAGAGTGAGAGCAAGAAAGAAGATGACGATGAGCACAATGAAAGGGTTCGTCGTCGCTATGGTGGTGATCTTCTCTGTGCTGCTGTCCCTGAACAACCCGAGAGGCGAATCGGAGAGAGCCTTTCTCTCCGCCTCCTCCTCCGCCCAAGAGCCACTGGTCAATCTGGTTTCTCTGACTTCTTCCGATGGAGGGCAAGATTTCGTCATGGAGGATATGAATGATGGAGGTCAATCGGATCTTGAATACGATTTCTACCGCGAGACTTGCCCAGAAGCTGAGACCATTGTGAGGTCGACGATGGCGCAGATTTACTCCCAGCAGAAGAATGTCTCTGCTCAGCTGCTGCGCCTCTTCTTCCATGACTGCTTCATTCAGGTATATCCCCAACCCCAAGATTCTTTTTTTATTCATCTTTGTGGCTATTTCTCGTATGGGTTTTGTTCCAAATTCTAATCTTGCTCTAGGTTCTCTGAATTTCTTCTTTTTTGTGGGTTTCTCTCGAGGGTTTTTGTTTTGATTGTCCTGGGTTTTCTGGTTTCTGGTTTTCACAAATGTGTTTTGATTGCTGTGATGTGGGATTTCTTCCTTAAATCGTGACAATTCATATCTTCATCTGGGTTGATTGGAACCTGTGAATCTTGAAATATGGCACTTTCAATTTGGACAAGTAGTTTTGTATTAGAAGGTGTATGATTTATCTTACGTGATATTTATGAGTGTTTCTTAGTCTTATTTGGTTATTGGATTCTATATATTGAATTTTGAAGGGTTTTTCAATCAGATGTCGTAGGTTTTGTTTCTTTGAGTCTTTTAGTTTTAACCTTAGTGCTTTATACGATCAATGCTGGTTTAAATCGGTGAAATGGGATGTCTTCTGCTTGAAAATTGTGAAGTTAAAACTGTTATTCATGCTTAACTCTTTCCGATTAGGTGAACATAAACATTTTTTTTGTATTATGCTCCGAAACCATGCCTGTGAACATGAACCTTTTGTTGTATTATGGTTCCGAAACCATTCATGTGACTTTTAATCTGAATCTTGTGGATTTTCTAATTCCATATGTGATTCTTAATGTTGTTGTGGGGTTTTTGAATCAGGGCTGTGATGCTTCAGTCCTCTTGGACGACAGCAATGGGAATAAAAACCATTCCATAGAGAAGCTGGCTGTTCCAAATAAGACCTTGAAGGGATTCGATAAAGTGGACCTGATCAAGGAGGTGCTCGAAAATGTTTGTCCAGGAGTGGTATCTTGTGCTGACACACTTGCTCTTGCCACCAGAGATGGCATTGTTCTGGTATGTTTTACTGCTCCCTCTTCTCAGTCGTCTTGACATATTTTACTGCTCTATCACCACAGTAGTCTTGACATGTTTTACTGCTCCATTTTCTCAGTCATCTTGACATGTTTTACTGCTGGACTGTCACAGTACTTGCCTGCGTTTTTAGTTGTTTTGATTTGCATTGTTTGATCGATACTTGTCAAGTATATGCATATCTGAAACTGTTTCAGTTGTGCATCCTGCTGTGTATAAGGTAACACGTTTCCAATTAGAGCACCCAACTACAAGAGAAAAATCATAAACCAAAATTATCACACCATCAGTTATTGATTTGATATTTGGTGCTTTCAGTTGTGCATACTGCTGTGTATAAGGTTTTAAACTGTCTCTACATTTTGCCGGTGTTCCTCAGTATTAAGTGTAAAATTTACGTAGCACGTCCATAATAATTTGATTGCTTGCTTGTTTCAGAATTCCACAACTGCACTTTTAGCTGTCTTCTTCTTTGATGCTGATGTGTTTCTCATATCTGAAATGGTAGGCTGATGGCCCCTTTTATCCGGTGTTCACTGGTAGAAGAGATAGCACCAGGTCCTACCATGATGAAGCATTGGCTGAGATTCCTAAACCTGATGATAACATCACTCAGACACTTCAGCTGTTCTCAGTGAGAGGATTTAGCGACCGAGAAACTGTCAGTCTTCTAGGTACGTACTCACAAAGCTGGCCTGTTCTTCAGTTCTTGTTCTATGGAATTGAAATAGATGAAAAGTCTAATCTTTGATTTGGTTTTGTTTCACATCCATAGGAGCGCACAACATTGGAAAGATTGGATGTGAGTTCATTCAGGCCCGTCTTAACAACTTTAAGGGGACGGGCAAACCAGACCCCACTGTTTCTCCTAGTTTCCTGAAAGAGATGAGATTTGTCTGCGATGACAATGGAACAAGGAGCAGCCAGAAGTCCCCTGCACCGGGGCCAACAAGGGGATTGATGAGGGAGAGGTCGTCGGGACTGAGGGGGATGCCATACTTCCAGCAGTTGTCTTCCTCCGTACCATCTGGGAGAGGCTTTGACACTCACTATTACCAGAGCTTATTGAAGGGCAGAGGACTCCTCTTTGCTGATCAGCAACTGATGGCAAATGAGAGGACTGCAAGGTTGGTCAGAGCTTATGCATCCGATGACGGATCAACCTTCCGGATGGACTTTGCCAGGGCTATGATGAAGATGTCAAAGCTAAAGGCGGCCAACGGATCTCCAGGTCAGGTCAGGGTGGACTGCTCTTTGCCACTGCAGACTTCTTAAACTGCATGCGCTGTGGCATGGAATCTGCCATGTTTTGAAGAGTAATTTTTACCCCATTTGGTTCTGGTTGTACAGTTCTGATTAGCCTTCCATATTAGACTTAGATCATTCCTTCATTCATTCCCGTCGATCTCCTTGCTAATTAGATCGTTGGATGCACTCGATCAGTACTCGGACAAACTTTATAGAAAATCAAACTCGAACGAGTTGATTGGTATCTTGTGGTTCTGTTTCGCATTCACCATAACATTGTTGTGCGGAAGCGTCAACCAAGTGTGAGTGAAAAATAAACCACAATAACTGACAAAAGATAAATGGAACAATACCAACAAGAACACCAAGATTTATACTGGTTCGGCAATGCCTACATCCAGTTTGGAGACGACGGAGTATTCCACTATAATCAATGAGAACATACAATAGTGTTTATCACTCAATTTCCCAAAGACCCGAATAACCCCAAGCTCACACACTTACAATAGGAAGAGAAAACCAAAAATACAAAGCAAGACAATTTGAGAAAATTCTTCTCTATGCCAAATGGCTTCTTGCTATTTTTCTTTCTTCCTTGTTTCCTTGATGTTGTGTTTGAGTTATGCCTACACCTCCTTTTATAGGCCAAAGGCCTCTCATCAAGTCAAAAGAATTAGGCATAAATGCATCCATTCTTTGACCACAAATTAGGCATAAGAGCATCCATTTTATTTCCCACATGTAGCATGCCAACCATCAATTTTGACCACAAAAGTAGCCAACATCATTTGTTGGTTTTAGACTACATTTGGTTTGAGCCAACAATCAACAATCTCCACCTTGGCGCAAACCCTCTAAGTAGAACTTCCAATAGTCGTCTCCCACTCCCCCATGGGGCAATCAGCAAATTTTACAAATGCCAATCAAGTCTAAGCAATGCTTAAACTTGAGCAACTTAAGCCCGATCGTAAATCGATCAAATCGCTTGTACCATTGTCTTGGAGACTGCTTCAAGCCATACAATGATTTTTCCAATTTGCAAACCCAATTTTCCTTTCCAGCAACCTTAAAACCTTCTGGCTGAGACATATAAATCTCTTCCTCCAAATCACCATGTAAGAACGCAGTCTTGACATCAAGTTGGGCCAACTCAAGATCAAACTGCACAACCAAAGCCAACAGAATACGAATAGAAGAATGTTTTACTACAGGAGAAAATACCTCATTGTAGTCAATGCCTTCTTTCTGAGCATAGCCTTTAGCTACCAATCTGGCTTTGAATCTTACATTGTCTTTTCCCAAAGATTCCATCTTTTTGGCATACACCCATTTACAACCAATTTCTTTCTTCCCCTTTGGTAACTGAACCAGCTTCCAAGTCTTGTTTTTATGAAGAGATTTCATCTCCTCATCCATAGATTTCTTCCACAACACGTACTCTGAACTCATGACAGCTTCTTTGTAGGTGGATGGAATATCATCTTCAATAACGGGAAGTGCATATGCCACAATATCAGTAAATCGAGCAGGCCTTCGAATTTCCCTTCTCGATCTTCTGGTTGCAATATAGTCTTGTTGCTGTGGAGGCTCTTGGGTAGGTGCCTCCTCTTCATCATCCTCGTCCTCATCATCATGATTAACTGTAGGACTAGTGTCTGTAACATCAGACCTTACTGGAACAACTGGAGTCTTCAGTAACTCCACCTGCTTTGAGCTACTCATGGTCTCGGTTGTTTTAGTTTCACCTTCATGCTTGTTCTGATTAACCATAGCAGCCTCATCAAAGGTCACATCTCTGCTTACAACAAATTTCTTCTCATCTGGACACCAGAGTCGGTATCCCTTCACGCCAGTGCTAAAGCCCATAAATAGAGCTTTCTTTGCTCTTGGATCCAACTTGCTTTCTCTGACATGATAGTAAGCAGGACAACCAAATATGTGTAAGAACTTGTAATCAGTACAAGGTTTACCAGACCATACCTCCATGGGCGTTTTGCCCTCATTCGCAACAGCTGGCAATCGATTAATGAGATGGCTTGCATAAGTAATTGCCTCAGCCCAAAACGCCTTGCCTAATCCAGCATTAGACAACATACACCGAACTTTCTCAAGCAAAGTACGGTTCATGCGCTCCGCCACCCCATTCTGTTGCGGTGTCTCCCTAACCGTGAAGTGCCTCACAATACCCTCATCTTGACAAATTTTCAAGAAAGGATCAGACTTATATTCACCCCCATTGTCTGATCTGAGAGTCTTGATCTTTCGACCGCTTTGCGTTTCAATCATCTTTTTCCACTTCAGGAATATCTTCAAGACTTCATCTTTACGCTTCATGGTGTACACCCATATTCTTCTAGAGAAGTCATCAACAAAAGAGACAAAATAATGGCTACCTCCCCAAGATGCATTCTTGGAAGGTCCCCAAACATCAGTGTGAACATAATCAAGAATGCCTTTAGTGTGGTGAATAGCAGTGCCAAATTTTACTCTAGTTTGCTTACCCAACACACAATGCTCACAGAATTCCAATTTGCATGCCTTTGCACCTTTCAATAAGCCTTGCTTCACCAATCCTTGCAACGCTTTTTCACCAGCATGCCCAAGACGCATATGCCATAACCTCGTGGTGTCTGTGCTATCTGCGTCAGCAGCTTCGGTGACAGCTGCTTCACCAATAACTGTACTCCCCTTCAAGAAATACAAGTTATTTCGTCTTGTACCTTTCATCACCACCAGTGCCCCGTAAACAGCTTTAAGAACTCCACCCTTCATGGTGATCTTGAGACCCTTGGATTCCAAAGCTCCCAGAGAGATAAGGTTTTTCTTCATATCCGGTACATACCGAACATCACTTAATTCTCTGACTGTTCCATCATGCATCTTTAAACAGATTTTGCCTATCCCTTGTGTTTTGCAGGCATTATCATTACCCATCAAAACAACTCCACCATCCAGCTCCTCGAAGCTAGAAAACCATTCTCGAATGGGACATATATGATAGGTGCAACCTGAATCCAAAATCCACTCCTTGGAGTGACCATCAGCAGATGAACTAGTCAAAGCAAACTCGAAATCATCATCTCCATATTTTGCAATATTTGCTTCAGAACCCGCTTTCTCTTTGTTCTTCAATTTGGGGCAGTCTCTCTTCCAATGACCCTTTTGGCGGCAAAAGGCACATTCATCTTTAGCAGGAAACTTCCCTCGTGACTTTGAACGAGATTGTCCCCGCTTCACATATTTTCTTTCCACTGTTCGACCCCTTGCAACAAGTGCCTCGGTTTGTGAATTGTGAGTCTTTAGTTCCTTCTTTCGACACTCATGATTCACCAATGCCGCAGACACCTCATCAAGTTTCACCTCGGATTTTCCATACAACAAAGTAGTTGTCAAATGATCATAATCATCAGGCAATGAATTTAACAAACATAGTGCCTTATCCTCGTCAGGAATTTTCACATCAAGGTTTGCTAAATCAGCAAGTATTTTATTATAATCATTGAGGTGTTCATGCATAGAAATACCTGGACTATACTGAAATCGGAAGAGTCGCTTCTTCAAGAAGAGCCGATTTTCTGCGCTCTTGGTCATATACTTCTCCTCCAATTTTGTCCATAACTCCTTAGCAGAAGTTTCCTTCATATACGGGTATTTCAACTCCTTATCAAGGAATGATCGAATAGCAGCACAAGCATGAAGATTAATTCGTGTCCACTGCTTGTCGTCAATATCTTCTGGTTTATTTTCCAGAACCATATCCAACTCTTGTTGATACAACACATCCATAACTTCACATTGCCACATACCAAAATTATTAGAGCCATTGAATTTATCAACCTCTAACCTTGTAGTAGCAATTTGATGTCTATTGGATGTAGATGCCGACGAAGACGATGTCGACTCCTTCCCCTTCACAGATTCATCTTTATCTCCAGCCATCTACTCGGCACTATTCACGGGACTGTAGCGCCAACAAATTTTTCACTCCCACGAGAACAACAAAGCCCTAGTCGAAAAACTGGGCTCTGATACCACTTGTTGTGCGGAAGCGTCAACCAAGTGTGAGTGAAAAATAAACCACAATAACTGACAAAAGATAAATGGAACAATACCAACAAGAACACCAAGATTTATACTGGTTCGGCAATGCCTACATCCAGTTTGGAGACGACGGAGTATTCCACTATAATCAATGAGAACATACAATAGTGTTTATCACTCAATTTCCCAAAGACCCGAATAACCCCAAGCTCACACACTTACAATAGGAAGAGAAAACCAAAAATACAAAGCAAGACAATTTGAGAAAATTCTTCTCTATGCCAAATGGCTTCTTGCTATTTTTCTTTCTTCCTTGTTTCCTTGATGTTGTGTTTGAGTTATGCCTACACCTCCTTTTATAGGCCAAAGGCCTCTCATCAAGTCAAAAGAATTAGGCATAAATGCATCCATTCTTTGACCACAAATTAGGCATAAGAGCATCCATTTTATTTCCCACATGTAGCATGCCAACCATCAATTTTGACCACAAAAGTAGCCAACATCATTTGTTGGTTTTAGACTACATTTGGTTTGAGCCAACAATCAACAAACATAGCCCTCGTATGGATATATGTCGATTTAGGCTAGACAAAACCTAGCTAAAAAGATATCAAACCTTTTCGAACGAGGAAACCAAACGTAGCCCTCGCGTCCATGCACCAGTACGTTCGTCTACTTCTTTTCGTCAGAGAAACTAATTGTATATAACCATCAGAGACGCCGGAGCAGCAACATTCGAGATTTCTTGGAGCTTCTCCTTTGATTAAGTTCATAAATTGAGAAGCTCCACAAAACCTCGAGTGCAGCTGCTCCATAAGGTGGCACTGACGCAAAAGGACGGATCAAAGATTACAAGCCACACATTTGCAGGCTTCCAGATAAAGTACTTTGCTTCTTGTAATATTTTTCGTTGAGATGTTTCATATTCGGATTCACGAGATGCGTTCATGCTCCTTTGCAACTAGACTAGGCCTTAGAGATGGAGAGACGGAGCTGGAGCACGAGAGACCAACAGATTTACAGTCTGTCGCTTTTGACCGTTCCGCCACTCTCCCCTTCCCAGGCGGAGGCCCCCCCAACGGGTTCCAAGAAGGGGGACGGCGCCCTGAATCATCGAATAATCAAGGTACGTAGAGGAGCGAAAGAACGACGTATATGTGCATAAAAAGGTTTTACTTTGTTATGCCGTAGAATGTAAATAAAAACCAGTAACCTGCGAATGTTAATTTGTACATGAACTATGATAACGTGAATTTTCCTAACTGTACATTTGGTTAATAAAAACCAGAGAGTGCAGTTTCTTGAAAACTATTTCCACAGAACCGAAGTCAATATCGAAACCGTAACTCTGCCCTCCATACTGCACGTAAAGATACTCTTTTGCAGACGAGGGTGGGGGCAGAATTTGGGAGATTACCGGTATATCGGACGTGGGGGGTGAAGGCATATCCTTTTTCTTCATAGAGTAGTAAACGTCAGCTAGAAGAAGCCAAATGAGATCAGCGTCGACGGATGCAAGGCCTTGAAGGGCATTTATGGATGCATCACGAAGACCAACCACGCCACTACAAGCTATCCCTACCACAAGACCGCTGACCTTCTTGAGGACAACTTCCAATGCTGAAGCACTCCTTTCGTTTCGGGACAATTCAGCAACCATGTTGAGAACTGCAACCTGTACTTTCAGATTAGAAGTTTCTGCCAGGGACTCCTCTGAAGAACTGGAAGTGCTTCTGTAAGGAAGTAGCAGAGGGGTTCTTTCTTCTTTCATGTTGGGCTTCCTATGGAATGGGGAGGTCGATAGAAGTTTCCAGAAGTGCAAGCCATCAGTTTGGAAGCGTCTTGAAAAGAAATCTCCTCCACAAATTTGCACTACATTGCTCACCACAGATAAACATCTTCTAACAGCCTGCAAACAGACGTGCAATAAATAAAGGCAGAAAATCAGTATACGCTCATGCGTTAGCAAATTCTTGGTGAAGAGCTTAAACACATAAAGCGGCAACGACAGAGTCATCCAAGTCACGAAAGGACTAGAGCAAGTAAAAATGACAATAAGCCTATGCAGGACTGAGGCAAATAGGTAAGGGGAAAGAATGGCCACGCACCAGTTGGTTCTTATTTTGAATGCAAACAACCAGAAAAGGCCAGATTTTATTCACTGCTGGAAGCAACCGGTTCTCATCAGCCCCTTCATCGGCAGCATCCAAGGCATCTTGGAGATGATATAACGAATATGACTGAATCGCTTCTTCAATTGCTTCCTTAGTAGCTTTCTCATGGTGATAAGCCTCTTCTACTTTTGCCAATGATGTAACCCCATCCTTCATATACAGAGCAGAAAAAGTGGACAAGAAAAGTTTCATTCATCAGTCGACCAACAAGAAAAATGTACTAATTACAAGACATCAGCCATATCACGATTTATAATCTAACTTCAGGCTGCTTGCGAGAAGAAAAAGTCAGAAAAACGGTTGGGAGCAGAAAGTTACCTCAATTATATCCAAGGCCACCAGACAGGCTTCTTGCCTTGCTGAAGCAAGTAGAGGGGTTGCAGCCATAATACATGAACCGGCAATAGCTCCAACTGTGCGCCTATATCTCTTTGAATCATTCAGCTTAAACATAATGCTATCCCATTGCTCTACATGCATATATAATTAAACAAGATACAGGTTCAGCACTATTGTTGACTTATATTCTGAAAGAAAATGCCTCCAGTGCCAAGAAAAATATATGACAGGGGATTACAAATTTACAAAAAGCTTGCAAACCGGTTGAGTGAATTGAACACTAACTTAAGTTGACCCTAGCTGCCAATTACTGGCTGAGTTCTTACAACTCTAAATTCTCACAGCTAGATCAGAAAATAATTTAGACTAGAAACCTCAAAAGTAATAGCATTAAAAAGGAATAAAGAACACAATTCCAACACCAATTAAAATAAACAGCATTGGTACAGAAAACTGTTCACCTGATTCCACTTGGGACATAATAATGTCGTCGTCGTCTTTCTTTTCGATATCAGATATTCTAGCCTTGACATCCAACAAATAAGACTCTGCCTGGGTTGGTAATGAACAAGCCTCACGCTTTGACGCCTTGGAAATTTCTGCTACAGCCTAAAGAGAAAAAAGAATCAATATAATGGCAAATCCCCATGGACAATAACAGCTGAATATACACATATAATTCTTAATAATCCTAATCCTTTTTCTTTCATCACTTTGCAGGAATACAGTGCAAAATAATTTAATTAAACTAATACAGCTCTTGGCGATTTTTTTCATCTCAGGAAAACCTACCAACCCACCAGGTATGCAATGAGAGGATTTTACTTGCTGAATGAGAAGGGATTCTGATGAAATCTTTAAGTAAAAGAAAACTAGACTATAGCATTCTTTACTACAGCTGTAATAGCTCCTGGTAAAACAGAAACCAAAAAGCCAAATAAATGGACTCACGATACAGTAACAGGAAACTCAGTATGGCACAAAAGATGACCTTTAAAAAGGAAATTGTCAATTCAGGGTGCTGATGCCTGCCAAGAATCTCGAGCTCCAAAGAAACAGAACGCATCTGCATTACAGGACCACAGCATAAGCATTACAATTTAAAAACAAAACCCAACTCTCCATGTGAAGCCATAGAGGAGTTGACGGTACCTTGAAATTAATAAAAAATCTAAATTGAGCATGCCAACAAGGATTATATTTTTCAGATAATCAGAAGGGAAATATGATTTTTAAGATGTCCTAAGGATCTAGCAACATTGAGATCTAGTAGGCGTACCGGCTCCTCAAATAGAGGCAATATTTTATACGCGACTCCTATATAGGAAAGCATGGCAGCGAGCACATTTGGCACATGAGGGTTAATCTCCAAATGGCGTAATTGACGACATATAGAATCAATCACATAGTCTGCATTCGCTAGTACTAGGTGCCCAACCTACAGGACAGTTAAAACAGAAAACTCATAAGACAAACTCCAAAAGTGGAACAGATTGAGATTCTGTATGCTGCACTCACTGTTGGAAAGCCAGATACAGCAGCCAGGATATGTAATACAGCATCAGAAGCACTTCTAACACGATAGTTTGAAGAAGTGAGATTTTCAAGCAACATATAAAGAGATTGATGAAGAAATCCACTAGAAGAAAAATCTCCTCCAAGGCAGATACTGATTATGCCTATTCCTTCAATGATAACCTGTAGAGGGAGACCAAGCTACCGTCAATATAATGTCCATCTGCTGAAACAAACTGATGCGAGATAAACTAAATTATAACACAAAAGGTGGAGGAAAATGTATATTTCCTGGTGTAGCATAGCCGTGTCCTGAAAGAAGTTTAGATTAACATCTTCAGCTTCATAGTCAGGATGCATGGATGAAGATTTATGTTCTGTTGGAAGATCCCATACTTCATGAGATAAATACTCCAGTAAAATTCTACCAACACAATCAATCAAGTGACTCCTTAATTCCTCATCCTTTAAAACATTCCAACTAGATTCACAAAGCATGGAAGATTCAACTTTGAAAGGTTGATCATCAGCAAATCCTGCATCAGAGTCCTGAACCTCTTTCCTTCTTTTTCTCGCTTTTTGAAACATCCTTGCGAAAATATCTGTCGCTTGATCTGACATACCGAATATCATCTCATTAAGAATACACACTGCAGTGCTCGCCTGGCGCAGTAACTGTCCCGAACCAGTTCTATTATACCATGAGTGCCAACTCACTTTATTATAATCCTTCATACGAACCTCAGAAACTAATTTACGCAAGTAACCCACTGGTATGTCAGTGATGTGTGACAAATGCTGCCCATGTTTTTTATCTAGCAGAAAGGAAAAATAAAATAACCTGACATCAGTAACGAACAATAAGGACATAAGTTAAAATTTGAAACCAAACAATTAAATCTGAAGAGTTGAAATAACCTGTCATCAAGGATAAACCTACAAGTCTAAGAATTCCTGAAAGAGCTTGGTATAGTTTCTGACTGCCAATGTATACAAACCAAGGAGGCATGCACGGAAGCTTATAATTCTCATAATTTTTCTGAACATTATCTGATGTGTATGGTATATCTTTCTCCTGGATGCCTGCAATCTTTGAATTTCGGGGAGCAGCAGCCACTATTGTTAGGCACTCGCTCGTAATACTGGCTCCAGCATTCAACTCAGAAACAGAGTCAAGATATCCAACTGAGGATGGCCTAGTGGTAAGAAGCTTATCAAGAGAACCAGCAAACACCGAGTTCTGACTCATACAAACAGAAAAATGGTCCAGGAAACGAGTAGCTGTTACCTAGACAGTGCCATATAAATAATGTCATAGGCAAGAATAAAGAACTTGAAACTGAAAAGGTAAGGACTCTAAGAACCCAAAGCATTTTAGGTTCAACTATACAATGATAACAGACATTATGTCTGCAGCCTGCTCTAGAACTTTCTATTTCTATATTCCCAACTCTTGAAATGCTGTATTACTATTATCTGGAAACAATGTTGTTTGATATACCAGATAATAATTTACGCAGGCATGCAGTATTCATAAGTTAACAAAGAAGAAAGCCGTGCATATTCATAACTTTAATTTATCTTGTTTCTCCAGATTATATGACATTTATTCATCAAGTATGGTTGAAAGTTTTTGTTTTGCTGAACAACTGGAAATAAGCAATCCCAGTCTTATCTTGTGTGTGTGTATGTGTGTGTGTGTATGTATATGTAATAAGACTAGATGAAGCCACTGACAACTCAAAACATACATGATAAATTTACTGAGAAAATAACCACATACCGGAGACTGAAGGATGTGATCAACTACAAACTGAGGACCAGAATAGTACATTATTACAAGTAGCTGCTGAGCTTGTGAGACTGCAAGTGATTCCTCACTCCCAAGGACAACTTTTGGAAGATTATCAATGAGCCTGGTAACATAATCAAGTTCTTATAAGAAAAAAAAAAAATCCCTTTCAAAAGGCAGGACCAACCACCACCACTATTTTGTCTACTATCAAATGAAGACCTAACCTGCTAAACATCTGAGCAACATCATGTTCCAACTGATTATCTTCAATCGATGAGAATAAATTTTCAAGGAATTCTTGTGCACCTGCAGATACCTCTACAGAGTCATCAACAACCAAAGCACACAAGCACTCCTGCATGAGCGGTAGCCAGAGCATGCGTTAGCTCGAAGTGGCAGTTCAAGTTTAGCACTTGCAAATCAACCAGATATGATTTAATTTAGGACAACCAAGTAACAAAGAAAATGCCAAAACAAGATATGGAAAATCTTTGCTTCTGCTGCAGGAGAGGTTTTTTGACCGGCACCTGGCAAAGCTTAATAGAGAGCGGGGTGGGACCAAAATTCGGGAAATTGTGGGCCAACAGCCATACTACAGAAGTGCTGAAAGACATTAAAATTAAAGGCACACATCCAACCAGGGTGTTTGGTAAAAAGAAAGGGAAACTTGAGTCATTAGAAGCTCCAAAGTCCAAACCGAGATAATCAAGAGCAGATGGCACTACCAATGGAAGATGTCACAACTGAAAATCAGCTGAGTCTCAGAAATTGCGGATCAAGAACTCTAACCCAAAATATGTGCAGGCTGACTTGGGTAAAAAGAAGACCACGTTCAAGGGTTTTCTTTAAAGATAAAACCATAACGTTATTACACAAGTCAATCAAATATACACTCATAGTTTTAAAATTATGCAACGAAAATACATCAACTTGAGAAATTATGTAATGAGAGCCCAAAGGAATCAATAACACATATAAATTCTGAACTAACCAGAAGCATTTGTCTACTCTGCCTCAGCGTGTAAATGCACTTTGACAACAGTCCTCGTATGGAAGCCAGGAGACCTTGTCTCACTTTTTTGCCGGATGAATGCAAATCTAACCAATAATTGAAGAATTTACCCATTGAATAAAAGCGCTAACATTTCAGGAGGTAAAGCATTGTATGATTGCATATAATGGATAATAATCAACTAGTAGCAAATTAAACGAAGAACGTACATGTCGAAAAGTTGCACCTAAGAGTTTATCCACATGCATTGAAGTTTTCTCAATCCAATCACTTGTACGATCCACGTGCAAAGATCCATCTCCTTTGCCAGAATCAGTTTTCTTCTCAGAGTTGGAAGTAGTTGTAATCACTTTGCTACTCGAATCTTCCAATATCATTTTACTTTGACCATGCGCCTTAACAGGCAACTTACGAAGCTCATCCAAGAACGATTGTGTAGATTCATTCTTTTTTAAAGTTAAGTCAGAACTAACAGTTATAGACATATCAAGTGTAGTTAAGTTAGCATCATCCCGCAGAACTATCATCAGATACTCAGCCAAAGCTCTAATTGCCTGATCAATTGCATCCCCACTTCCAGCAGCCCCACTGGTCATTGTTTTTGAGGCATGCAAAACTTTGGCAAATTGACTAACAACACCGGGTAAAAAGAAGGCTAACGCATCAGCAGTACCAACCTGTTGGAAAGAAAAATGTCGTGAATTATACTAACCAGAGGTACTGATTTGTATGCTTCCAATTTGCACTGAAGAAACTTCAGTATACCTAAAAACCTCAGATGGTGTATTTTGATTCTTGCTATGTACACCAAATTGATTCATAAAGAGTCAAATAGTATTTAAGCTTTTCTCCGTTGGGTTTTTTTCCAGCCCATGATAAGTTGTCCTAAGTCTATGGGGAATTAATAGTCTTAGAGGATTAAATTATTTTCCCAATTGGAGTTGTTTTCCCAATTGGAGTTGTTTACCCAATTGGACTTAGTTTCTCAATTGGAGAAGGAGTCATAACTAGATTCCAATTAGGATTAGTACTCCTTATTGAAGAAGACCTTTATCATGTCTATATAAAGGGGCTATTGTACTAGTTTTGAATGAAGGGAGCAAAACAATAAATTGTATACCACTCAAGGGATTAGAGTGAGAGAATACTGTAAAGTGTGTGCGAGAGAAAAGAAAAGAGATAGTGTATTTCTTCTTCTTGTTCTTTTAGGTTTTTCGTCAAGTCCTAGTTCTAGAGATTTGGCAAGATTATTGGTTGTACTCATTATTGATATAGTGAAAGATTGTTGTTGTTGTCCTATGGACATAGGCACATATTGCCGAACCGCGTAAATTCTTGGTGTTATTTATCTTGGTTATTTGTTTTCGATTTCCAGAGTTTGTTCTATTTTTCCCATTCTTAAACACGATATTCTCAACATTATCATGGTCAGAACATCATGAAATGAAGAAGGGGGGGAAGAAACACAGACACCCAAATTCAAGTTTTATTAATGAATCAATGCCACAAAAGTTAGAACCTACGGTAATTCACAAGATTACCTTAGCAACAAGCACACGTAGGGTCATAAAGGCTTCAATCCGAAGCTTTGCACTACCTAGATGTCCTCGTGCAGCCTCATTATCTGCAGCCTTTTCATAAAACCACTTGGGAAATAAGTACCATAGGAAAATTTTATTTCTACAGAATGATCAACTGCCACTCAAGACAACTTAGCATACTTTGAGAAGAAGTGATAGCCAGTGTCCAACAGCTGCAGAAGCAGTTTGTGACTGTAGAAATGCAAGCAAACATTCATCTGGTTCTGAATCATACTTTGATGTTCTACTGAGTGGAGCTTTCAAGTCTCTGTTTTCTAAAAGCATAGGCACACCAAAGATTCGTTTACATGCACAAGACTCATCAGAGCATGGAAGTAAATTCAGTAGCAATTCCCTGAAACACTTAATAATTCCTTCACGAAACTCTTCTGACGCGTCAGATGGAGAAAGCAAAGCCCCATAAGTCAACTTTTTCAATACTACAACCAACTGCAAAAGGATATTATTGCACTTCAAATAAGAAGACTGCCTCCTAGGAATAAACTCATATGAACAAACTAACTAATGCAACATACAAGCCAATTTTGAACTCATGGAAAAACCATGCCATTTCTTTGGTAGGATGTATAATGTTTGATTATGCATGAAGAGGCAGAATGAGAGAGAAAAGATTTGCATATATCAAAGTAATAACATAAGAGAATTGCAGGAGAAATAAACATTTATAACTAATTCACTCCCACCCAATTAATGAATTAAATCAGCAAGAATGTTTAGACAATGATGACAAAGATGCCAAAAGAACTTCTCCCTCATAGAAAACCACTACCTTCAGATTTTCTGCATCCCCAATTTGAATGGGCATGTACATAGATTAAGTTTGGTTGAAGAGCAAAACCAATTATCAAATTAAATTTTGTCTAATAAAACAGTAATTAGTAATTCTACACGTACAAATTTTGGAAGAGGTCCAAGCAATTGTCAATCAAATAAGATTACCTGATCTACAGATCCTAAAAGACACTTCTTGAGCAGTTCTTCCAGGCACTGAAGCACACCTTCAGCCACACTATCACTCACTTTTTGGGGCATTTTTGGGACATTATGACTCGCAAGTTTTTCTTCAGAACCAAGCTTCTTTGAGGTTCTACAGTCAACAGCTGCATCCAATAGAAGCAGCAGCGGAAACAACGTGTAGCTGAAAGATGCACAACTTTGTCAAGAAAATAATGCTTAATGACAGATACATAATATATATTATCCACACACATTTTGGATTCTTTACAAGTTTGTACGACAAGTATAAGCGATGAAACCATGTTCACCCGGGTGTGGATCACTAGAAACTTTAAAATTGAACCTACTATTCACAGTGGCGTTGAGCAATGGGACACAGAGTCTACTAATGGAAAAGTGATAGTTTTGCTCCCCCGCCACCTCAGGTCATATCATATCAATATAGTACTTAACCAATTTCAAAAACAATCTGAATAAGAATGATATCTTTTGTACACTCTAACCATTAAATACACTTCAAAGACACCGAGACGAAATTATGTGCAATTGGGGTGGGGAATTTTGTTTCATTTAATATAAATCAACCCAATACCCTTCCCCTCCACCAATCACCAAAACTTAAACACAGAGGCAATCACTCTATAATTCAAAATTATTAAGCCAACAAACTTGATTACGAATACTTCACCCAATCCAACCCTCAAAGCTGACCACAAGTGTTACGCATACAAGCATGCATAACTAGACCTATATACATACATGTTCATATGTGCAAGGATATATATACATATATAAGTTATGCAAATTCAAGGAAAAGAAGCAAAATTTACAGAGAGGTTGAAGTGCTTACTCGAAGAAGGGCTGGAGAGCATGAGGCGTAGACTGGCGAAGGAAATGGAGCAGAGAAGAGAGAGCAGAGGAGTGCTTCTTAGGGTTTTGGAGAAGCTCCAGAAGCTCAAAGCAGTATGCTTTTAGCTGCGTAAACACTCTGCTTCTTTCTTCGTCCTCTGGGAACGCGAGCTCGTCAATTTCCACCATTGCAGACGGCGGAGAGAGCGGAGGAGGAGTGGGAGTTGAGAACACACAAATTGCTAGACGATTCCAACAGGATGAGTTGTTGAACTGAAAACGGGTTGTTGCCGACCGGTTTGAATATAATTGACCCGTTTGTGTTGGGCCTTAAGTTGGGCTGACTCTTGGGTAACAATAGCTCTTTTATTTCTATTTATTTTGGGTCTTGAGGAAAACAATGGCTGGTGGAGGGTTAAGAGCAGTTTTCACCGTGGGAAAGGTCCTCCTAGGCTATTCATTTTTTAATCTACCCAATTAATAGTAATTGTCCTTAATGAACAGTAATTGTCTTATGCATCTTCATCCTTACACTGAATAGCCCTGGTAATAGGCAATAAAATATTAGTATTTTTTTTATTATAAAATAATACAAAATAATTTTATTTGTAATTTCGAATATGCTTTTTAATCGATCTCGTTGTACCACGTGTCATGTAGTTATGCAATTTTTTTAGACGTATGATTTAGTTATGCAATTTTTTTATAGAAGAATTTGAAAGACAGATTAATGGATGGTTATGAAATTCAATAAAGGGAAACACTGTAGGAGTTGAGATTGACTTTGTACCCTAAAGGTTGAGCTTATAGCACCTATCATTTTCCTTGGGTGAACTCATTGGAAAGAAAACATATATATATATATGTGTGTGTGTGTGTGTGTGTGTGTGTGTGTCATTAGATTTCCAAGTTCCACCTGTCATACATGCAAGACGGCTATACATGTGAATAAGCCACCTAACATGCATTGGTTTCAGGGAGTTCCCTCACTTCTGCAAACTCTCTCTCTCTCTCTCTCTCTCTTTCTCTCTCTCTAGCACAGTGGCAAACTAGCCACCATCACCACCATTTCCTTGAGTAATTTAACCTGAAAACCTTATATCTTGAATCTATGGAGCATGTGGAACGCAACTGTGGTCTTGCATGCACCATCGGTGCACTGTGAGACATAGTTTCGTTGAAGCAGACGTGTGGGGGTTCCCCACCGTGTGGCTTTTTCAGTGACAGAGGAGCCAGAGAGAAAAAAGAAGAAGGCGCGCGGGAGGTGGAGTGGTCGAAGGTCAGGGATCGAGTGTGGTAGGGTGGCAGTGGAGACGAAGCTGAGGAATTAAACGCCCGAATTGTTTTTTTTTTATTTTAATTTTATAAATTTTTTATTAGTTGTTTTTAATTTTTGATCTTTTTTTTATTATTTTTTTGGATTTTTTAATTATTTTTTAACATTTTTTATTAATATTTTTTATTTTTATTAATTTTATATTGTGGATGACGTCGCCTAGACGTCAGCCTTGTGTCACGTTGCCTTCGAGCTCTCGGGCTGGCAACTCGTGTCGGGCCTCTCCCTCTGGCCTGCTCGGGCTCCCTCACCAACACGCGCTGGGCTTGCTTGCTCAGGCTCTCTACCACTGTTCGCAGGCCTGTCCCTTGGGCTCCAGCACACGTTGGAGCTGCTCTAAGGGGTGTGTTATCCACAAACCACATTTTACTTCTTACACACCCTTTGACAATTTTTGTCCGTTAATCTTCTTCAGTTCATCCGATCCGACGGTCAAAAATTAAAAAGGTGTGTGAAAAATAAAATAGGGTGTGTGGATATCACACCCCTATTTTAATTTCTTACAGGGGTCATAGTCAATTTTGATTTTAAAGAATATTAATAGTTTTTTTAAGTGACAGATTTCTAAGATCATTTCTAAAGAAAAGGTTAAATTTTAAACATAGAATTTAAATTTGAAGACTTATGAGGCACATTGATCCTTTTTAAAATTTTGTTCTTCAACGATATGTCAAATTTAAACCATTATTTATTACATTACTTACTTTTTGTAATTAGTATTTTAAAACAAAAGATAAGTATAAAAATTATGAAAAACATTTATTAATTACTAAAAATATATTTAAAAATGCTGCCAAATTTGAAACTGCTATCAAATTTGACAGCAACTTCCTATACTGCCTTTCCATGCCATGCCACAGATGAATTGGCATTTCGTTTGGAAAACACTAGTGATGTCTTTTTTTTACCACTATTGCTGATGTGGAGTTTTGACATCTCCTTTAAAAATACTCTAAAAATTTTAATAGAATTTAGAATTCTCTATGAATTTTGACGGATTTCTATTATAAATTTATAGGATCTGCAATTCATCCAATACCATCATGCATGAACTATTCGGAATTGTTGCAAGAATGAATAGCGAATGCATAAAAAGACTAACAAAAAAAAAAAAAAACAGGGAAGTGATCTTTGCAATTTTTTTTTAATTATAATCATTGATTGTCTTTTAATTTATTCAATTTCATGATTAAAATAAGGATGTGTACGTGATAAAAAGTGCATAAATCATTTCATAAAGATAAACTTCGAATGTTGTTTCATTCGATGGCTTAATATTGGCTCCTGAATTTATCACTTTCATTTTTCTCAGCTTTCCCAAATTAGTAGACTTGACTTGATTATTGGCTCCTTAATTTCTCACTTTCATTCAATCGCTTAATATTGCCCTTGCTAAAACTGGCGACCCACGTTCCCCAGTTATCCCCAGCTCCTGCCATCTTTGTACCCACATCTTCTCCGCAAGCACGTCATCAGCGTTAGCTTAGTTTTTTAGTTTATTTTTATGTTTTGTGTTTGCACCGCCTAGAGCGGGTTTGTGTTGCCTTGACAATCTGTGATGGCCTTGCTTTTTTGCGGTAGTTTTAAACTTTTACGTGACTATCTTTGTGTCAAATTTGTTATGGAACTGTTTAGATCCAAAATTACACCATCGGCCCGTGCAATCGAAGCCGTTGAGTAAGCATGATTCTAGACCGTCGGATAAGAAAGTTAAGATAATTTTGTTTTGAGATAATGTTATGGTTTTTAATCATAATAATTATCTTTTAATAAGTTATCTCAAATTTTCTTATACAAAATAAATGGCATAAAAATCATAGTCCCAATGTAGAAGCAAGTAGAACAGTCCGATTTAATTTGGATTTGTTAGTAGTGTACCATGTGGATTAGAGCAACTCGGCTTGGGATCTTATCACATGGCATAGCATGGATCTGCAAATTTTGGATAATGGTGAATAGAAAGCCTAAGTAGGTTAGGTTGATTGACAAGTAGTCAGAAATGAATTTTAAATGGTTTGAAATTCATTAAATGGGATTAGGATGTATGGATGAGTGATAGAATTATGACAAGAAAAGAAAGCCTAGCTAGGTTAGGTTTTTAATTACGATGGGATAAGTCAAGATGGGCTTTTATCTTGTTTGGAAAGCCAATCATTTGGATGAAAGGTTTCAGACTTTAGAGGAACATAGAAATAGTGACGTGATGTAGCAGGAGGTTTACCATGCATGAAGAGATAAAAGATTATGATGGTGGGACCGAATATCCTTGGCAGGATGCTAAGAGTTTTAGTCAGATGACAACACTTGCAAGACTTGGAGATAAAATCACAGTATATCAAGTTGCTGCAAATGAACACGTGGCTTCAGTTTGCGTGAGATGGTATGACTAAAGCATGGGCTTTGGCCTGCGTAACGTAAATTGCTTTATGAGTTTGAAAACGATTGGATTCAGTAACAGGTATCCAACAAGTGTCAGCCGCCAAAGCCAGTATAGCAGTACCATAAATAAAAGGCAACGTGCATCATTCAAGGGACCTTCAATTCAATATACAATTGCCCTACGCAAAGCCTCTCAAATACCTTGAGATTTTTTCCTTTTCTTTTTTCTGCCGACACACCTTCAGTTTGGATAAACAGCACTGTGGAGGCACCCGGCAAACACCTTCAGTTTGGATAAACAGCACCGTTGCCGCAGAATCAACCGACCGAGAAGCACCTTCAGTTTGGATAAACAGCACTGCGTCGAGGCCGACCTATCTAAGTCTCGGCCGAGAAGGGTTTTCGAACCCTTGTTGGTAGAGGTCACCTTGCTAGCCCTTTTGGCGTAGTAAGGTGTTACGAATTGCGTTACTCGGCGTACTGGACGTCGAGTGATTTTATGATTGGACACTCACAAGTGAGTTTCAGAGTTCGGCATTCCGACGGCCGAACTACATTCACCATCAAGACATACATCACATTTGAGTACCTGTGTCCATATAGTTTGGTCTCGATTCGACGTGCCTATACTCTTACAAATATAATCACAGTGACCGAATCGGGCGCCAACGATTTGTGAACTTCGCAGAGTAGCCTTGTCTTCAGGCTCTAGAACCCAAAGACCGAGAGTGTTCCTTCCTCGGTCGCAGTCGCAATATAAAGAAGTCAACAACGCGCTCAACGCGACATCAACGAATTTTACTCCTCGGTCGAGCTCGGTCGACGAGTTGGCACGCCCCGCATTCAATCGAATGACGTAGTTAGCTTATTAGTTACTCGGCATGCGCGCCACGTAGGTTTTGTAATTTTTAGAGTCAACATTTTGGCACGCCTAGAGGGACCCAGTGCTAGAACTACGAAGTTCATATAATATATCAAGATTCCAATTCGGCTCCACATAGCCAATTGTACGAGCTCCTAGAGGAATTGAAAAAGTGCAATGGGGAACGAAAAAGATCTTTGGAAGTGGAAAAAATTCTTCGTGGCCATACAGAGATGGAAAAGTCATTCGTTTACATGTTGAGAATAAAAGCTCATGTTACCCTGCAAGAGCAATGGGTAAATGAAGACAGGGCTCGATTTAATACCTGGCTAGATGGAAAATATTTTCCTTATGTTTTCTACTACAAATCGATTCCATTTGAGGATTGGTTGGTTGAAAAAACCGGGAGGCAATTTTCCACTCCGGCCGTAATCAAAATTCGGCCTAAGAAGATTGTCGAGATGGCCGAAGAAGAACCTAGGCCACTTATTTGTTCGGTCGAGACTGAAAGTGTAGTAGGCCAAGAAGAAAATGTTCAATTTTCTGAGCCAAAAATTGACTCAGAAAATGATTCGTCAGAGGAATGTTCCAATGACGAACAAGACCGATACACGGCTTCAAACCATAAAACCACATCGATTGATATGGTAATTGGAGATATGGTCTTGGACGCTGAAACCATGACAATC